TCGGCATTTCTGTTCAGAGATGTGTCAGGGCCTGTGAAAGGCCCGGTTTCTGATTGAAGGTGGGTTATAACAATTCCCTACAGCTGGAGGAAAGGTTTGCCACTGAACCAGGAGCAAGAGAAGGTCTAGGTTTCATCACGTTGCATCTTGCGCCCTCCAGTGGCTGTACTTGCCATGGACAGACAGTTCAAACAGGTATAGCTGGAGGATCAATGGCTTTGAGAGAAATTGAGAGGCAGGAGACAGAAATACCCTGTCCGTTGACCAAGGCAACCCTCTTTTCACTTCCTTTCGCATGTCAGCAAGAAAAACGACTGCTCATTAAATCCAAATGACAACTCTTATGAAGTAAGGCAAGGCAGTCTAGAAACAATTATCAACTCATTTCAATCAGGGGCAAAAGCTTGACTGAGGTCAACTGAATGACGGCTCCTCAGTCTTTGAGGCTGTTACTGAACTACTTTAGAATTAGGTTTCATGCTCATCGCATTAACTTAGGAGCATATTCTTCGAGTTATGAACTTAAAACATTTTTAAGGTGTAATCTGTTCCTGGACAAATTAGTCCATTGCTTTGGATTTGATTCAACATTCTGAATGAAACTCAGGATCTTCAAACTTACAATCTTGCCTTTTTTAATACTCTGTTTTTGATAAATGTGAATTGACATCAAAGGGGTAGTTTGACTAGGCTGTGGCTGAACTGGTCCTTTTCTGGGTATAAATAAAGGCTCAGAGGAAAGGTCACAGTTCCACCACCCTGACTCCCCCAGTCCTCACACCCCACTGCAATCAGGCTGAATCTCCCACCAGGCCCATATTTTCATCCTCAGGACTTCAATTCATTTTAGTTACTCGGTAACAGAAACATCCAACACTATAGCTACACATTTGACCCATGCTTCAAATTCAACACGATCTTGTTTAGGATTTGGCAAAGAAATAAGATGGACTTACACAATGCTACTCACCACATCAGAAGCTATTCACAGCTGACATTGCTATGTGGGCAATCTCTGGCGATCACTTTTGCACACAGGAAGATCCCACAGAAAGCAAATGATACTATTTCTGTTTATTTATTCTCGTGGAGATGGGTATGTTGGCTCAGAGGCTAGAAGAGCTTCCTATCCTTTCTTGAACAGTATGATCTATAGTGTCTCTCCAGAAAGCCGACAGGAACTCACAGCAGCATCCCATCTGAAGAGCTACACTCACAGGGGTTTTCAACAGAGCAAAAGGTTTGCTCTTCTCTTGGGTAACTTGGGCAGAATCAAGTTACAATGTGAGTCATCCATCTGAATTACCAGCTGAATTGTAACACCAAAGTTGGGAAGGATAATTGAAAATAAAATGTAATTTATTAAAATATCATTCACAGACAAATTAACCAAATATATAACCAGGAAACTTGAAGTGCTCTTTATTATGGTCACTCACTAGGTCACAGTCCTGGACCTCCCTCTCTACAACATCAATGTGGGTATCCCATTGCCATATCAACTACAATGTTCAATAAGACGGCTCCCCTCCATGTTCCCAAGGACCATTAAAGATAAGCATCAGGTGTTGATCTTACCAGTGGCCCCCACATTGTGGTGAACAACTATATTTGAAAAATGTATTCCTTTATAACCAAGGCTATATTTTTCATTGTGGCTGTCAAATTTATCAGCTATACGACAATGACCAGGTAGATTCCGGTTTGAATCTGCTGTCTAAACAAAATTAAATGATCTCAAGTTAGAGCAGGGATAAATGTGAATCATTCATCCTGAACCTGGATTAGGAAATATCCCAATTAAGTAGTATTCCCGAGACTCATGATCCCTAATGGAAATTATATAAGTAGTAGAATTAGAATCAGCTGTGATGTGCCTGAGACCAAAAGGAAAGAAGATTTCCATTTTGCTCGTGTCTATCACAACCTCAGGACATTCTAAAGTGTTGTAAGGCCCATGAAGTAGTCCTTTGGGCTGTTGTAATATAGGAAGTGTCTCAGCAAGCTGCCAAATACATAACACCAGACTAGAAATTTCAAATTAGTGATGTTCATTGAGAGATAACTATTGCCTAGGACACCAGGGGTAACATGACTACTTTTTCTCAATGGCACGTTGGGATTTTTACATCTGAGAAACCAGTTGGGGCTTTAGTTTTACAACTCATCTGAGAGACAGCACCTCTAACAGCAGAACACTCACTTACGACAGACTCTAGATCAGATATTGCAGTCCCCAGAGTTTGAACCCACAACCTGCCATCTCAGAGGTAGGAAGGCTCACCCATTAAGCTGGAACACAATCAAAGATTCTACAGAGACACAGTAGAAAGGAGGAAATTGGCAAGTGGAGAATAAATGCAGCCTGTATTCAGTACATCAGTGTTGTTGATGTTTGAAGGGTGATTCAGCCAAACCTCATATCCTGCGGGAAAGTCAGAGGAATGGGACAGAAGGAGATTGCAGGTCTGATTCCCCTCCATAGGCAAGGGCCTCTGTTGCATAGAAACATAGCAACAGAGGAAGGCCATTCAGCCCATAAAGTTTGTTCTGTCAGCTAATTAAATCAGGGGTGGCCTGTACCATAATTCCACCTCACTGGCATTGCTCTATAACCCATCACACTTAGGTCGAACAAATATTTGTCGACCTCAGCTCTGACATTTTTCAATTGGCCAACAGCCTCAACAGTTTTTAGGAAGAGAAAGTTATAGATTTCCACTGCCTTCTCTTTGTCTAAAGAATGTAATTTTATGGCTACACCCCACTTTGAACTCCTTCCTTGTTGTCAATCCATCCTCAACTATTACTGACATGAAACAGTGCACCACTTTCCTGTTTCTTTCCACCACGGCACTGCTAAAATTTAGAGCTTCTCATTTCAATCTGGTCACTGGGACATGCGCAATATTGGCAAGATAACATCAGTAGAGGACCGGAAGGAGTTCCCAATGGTCAGATATCTCTGGAAGGACCACAGTACTAAATGTACTTTTGGGTCGGGCTAGGGGCATTTATTCTGCACTACCCACCGTTCACTTTTACCCATCTGACTGAACATATTTAAAAGATTTCTAAATCCTGTCACAGTGCCCATTGTTCTGTACACACAGAAACACAATCTCATTGCTTCATTGCAACATGCAATAATCAGGCTCTGGATTCCGTGCCTCATTTTCCAATGATTGCACTCCCTGTCCTCAGGATTAAAACTAACCATGAAACTCACACGTCAGCCTGGGTTCCCTGAAGTATCTGATCTCCAGAGGAGATTGGAGTGGTCGTTCCAAGTGGGAAGTGAGGGGAAGTGCGGTACTGCTGAGACATACGGCTGAAGGATCAGGAGAAAGTACACTTTGTGCTCATTGTCCGAAGCTACTCTTAAAGAATGAGCATGAGCAAGGCACCAATGCATGGTGTTTGTACAGGTTCTGCCTTCAAAAATGAAGCGGATGTATAGGGATAAGGAGGAAATACTATTTTTGTATTTCAAACTTTAGCCTAAGAATATCAAATTCAGGAAAAACCGCATCTGGTTCACTAATGTCCTTTAGGGAAGGAAAGTGCCACCTTTACCTATTCTGATCTATATGTGACTCTAGACCCACAGCAATGTGGTTGACTCTTAACTGCTCTCTGGGCAAGTGGGATGGGCAATAAATGCTGGCCTAGCTAGCAACGTCCTTCATCCCATGAATAAATAAAAAAATTGGTTTAGACACTATTTAGTTTATTAAGTGATTTAACATTGCAGAGGTGTTGCACTCAAGTCAATTCATTGTAAAACTGCAATGATTTTCAGTGATTGTGCTTGTTCTTTTACACTGGTGTATATAGGCTGCTTTCTCATTAGATCTGCAAACCATGACTAATCCACACTTGTTCTCAGTCAGACTGTCAGGTAAAGGGAAAATTTCCAGTGAGGCATTTCCCCAGCAACAGGACGAGAGGGGCACACAAAGTATCACTTGGAACAGTCCTGTAAGTGGCTGCTTTGCCATTGTGATTGGGTAATGTGCACATTTAGGCAAGTGGAGAAAAACTTGAGTCTGTGTAGCCAATGCTCCCTCATCTTCCCAAGCAACTCAGTGACAACAAATTACATTCAAGAGAATGTGGCTGCTGCTCTGTCAGCAAGTGGACAGGCATTGGGTACACATCAAGATCCCACTAAACAGAAAGCTTTTGATGGCATTGATTTGGGCAGTGAACGCTGGCCAGGCATCTGGGAATTCTAAACAAAAAACAAAGAATTACAGCTGCTGAAAATCCGAAACAATAACCGAGAGCCCTAGAGAAACTCAGCAGAACCTGCTAATTCAGAGGAAGAGATTTGCTAGACTGGAAACATGGGCCCTGCTTTCTCTCCACAAATGCTGTCAGACCTGCTGAGTTTCTCCAGCACTTTCTGTGTTTATAACCTGTAATATTAACAGTGTTTCTCTCTCTCTCTCTCTCTGTCCAGAGGTGCTGCCAGACCTGCAGAGTTTCTGCAGTGTTATCTGGGAACTCTACCCTACAAAATAGGTGTCAGGCAATCTTTAATGTTCACCGAGCGGGAGGTGGGAGAAGGTGCCACTGTCCCTCAACCCTGGCACCAGAATCAGCAAAAAGAGGTCTGTGTACTCAGGTGACAACTGAGTCGGAACCAGCTGGGAGCGCTGGAGTTCTAGAGGCTTTGAGATCTGAACGTCTTTCCGAGAATATTAAGTTATTTTCGAGGAAAACACGGGTAGCCGTGTATGATGTCAGGGCGCTAAGAGAGAAGGGGGAGGTCTGCTTACACAGGCTGAGCTAGGGAAAGGTGCCCACTCATTCGGACTGCACTGAAATGTTGCCGTGACGCGGAGTCTGTTGCAATCGGTGACGGTCTAACATTTTTTTAGCCAGGAAGCTTGTAAATAAAGCTGGGGATTTTCCTGAATTGCAGTTCACCGGTCTGGCCATGTTTTGCATAAAGGAAGGTGTTACTCTTGGGACGTCTCAAGCATAAAAAGGCGGCACCAGTGGCGACCTCTATACAGTTGGAGTCAGTGATACCAGCACTGAACTTTGAAGGCACAACTTTAGCGGTGCAAGACATTCTCTGTTTTGTTGCTGTTGCTTGTCGTTGTTGAACGTTTCGTTTCTCGTTCGTTAAAGGAGAGGATATCAAAAGCAAAGCCTCTTTCGTTTTGGGAAATAGAATAAAAGAGAAATCGAAGCAAGATGCTGTGTCCTTGGACTTTTCTACAAAGACCCAGGTACAAGGGCAAATATGATCACGGAGCGAAGTCGACAGTGGACCTGAACAACAATGAAATTGACACCAGCAAAGAAAAAAGGTACAGTTTTAAATTCAACTTAAGAACAGTCCTGAACCCTGTTTAAGAGAACTTAGTTTGTAAAGACAGCGCTCCTCGCTATAGCCACAAGAGATGCTAAACCCTGGTCCTGATAAGTTACTTTTAAAACTGTTAACTTGTTACAAATGTGACTGCAGGTGTTGACGAGACAGGGGGCAATAGATTTGAGTTTTTATATGTTGTAGGTTTGCACATTTAGAATGTTTTTATACCCAGGAATAAATATTTAAAATCGTTCTAATTATTAGAGCACCAGTTCCCCACCTTTGTTTATTTTGATTTAGGCAATGTGTTTCATGGGCACACGCTGAGCTATCAGCTGTTAAAACAAACTCTGGGAGCGAGTGGGAGTGAACTACCGTTAACGCGTTTCTCTGAACAGCTGCAGTTTTTATTGTTTATCGAATTATTTGATAAATTAGTGACTCACAGCTCACGAAACGACCTGGGCTGAACGAAAATAAACTAAAAACCGATATTTTAACGAACCATTTCTCTTGTTTAAAACATTGTGCCCCCTCTGAGTTAACCAAACAGGCGCCTCTCAGATAAACTCTGCTTTTTATTTAAAAAAATCACATAATCACAGAAAAGTGTGCTCAGAATGGCAAAGACCCTGTCGTTTGAGATAACGATCTTATATGATTCTCTCTCCAGCCTTGCCAATGGACGTATTCCGAACTTTAAGACTGACAGAGCGGGCCCTGAGGTGAGTGATAACTTGTTGCTGGGTTTGATGCAAAACAGAAATTTCGTTCGCAAATAGCGCCCAGTTCGGACTCACTTCAAATGGACCTAATTCGTATGAAAACTCTTTTAATACCGACTAATTGAAATGATAAGTGACAGCATCAGAATTCAAATTTTTAGAAATTAGCAATTTTAGATGTAGGTAACTGAAAATAGACTGCATTTTAAGGTATATTTCTGCACTGCCCAGCTTATTGATATTTATCCCTGACGCTTCTGGGCCTGAGTTCATAAGACAGAAGGGATTTATTACAAAATATTCACAATACTCATAATGGCTCCACATCCCAGACTATAATAAAACAAAGAACTAAGGATGCTAGAAATGTTAATACAAACAAGCACAGAAATTGCTGGAGAAACTCAGCAGGTCTTGGTAGGAGATAAGAGTTCACGTTTCGAGTTAGCATGACTTCTTCAGCTCTCCAGCGATTTCTATTTTTGCTTATTCCAGACAGTTCCAATTCGGGAAAAAGTATAATTTTCGAAACAAACAGGAGAGGAGAGATATATAGACCAGAGAACGAATTCGTAATTCAATCCCCGTTTTAATGTCATGCAATTACTTTTAAAACTATCTGTTCCATTACAACCGGCACTGCAAGAATTCTCAGGGGCAGGCTGTATGAACAGATTTAGATTTTTTTCATGTTATAAATTTGTTTCTTTAGAATAGTCTTGTGTGTTTATACAGAAAAGATATTTTATTTAAATCAATTACTTTCTAATTATTGTAATATTAAATGTCCTGCTTTCTAAATTAAGGGTTGTGGCTGCACTCTGATTATTTACACCAACTGATTGTGTTTCTTGTGTCTATTATTTGCCAATAGCCAATTCCCGCGAAAGGACCCATGCGTTGTCCTTATGCCCCTAAGTTTGTGAAATTGACGAACATGGAGAATGGGAGCATCTTGCAGGATACCCTGCATCAAAAAGCAGTCAGGGTAAGAACCGTTCAAACTTCCTTCACCCAGTACTGGGCTAGACATTGTCAACATAGCCGTCCTCTGCTTAACTAAATCCTGCATCTGTTGTGAAAAAAAAAGTTAAACTGGGGGCTAAAGATATTCATCTTCACCCATGGGACAGTCCATTGTCAATTGAAAGTAATTTTTTTAATGTACATTAAAGATCAACTCTACACAAAAACAAGTAACAGGTCCTAATCCCTGTTTGAGAAGAGAAATGTAGAACCAAATCACAATATTTGAAAAGATTTTGTTTGCATGAATATGATGTGAACCTACATCTTACCCTCACTGTCTGCTTTAGAACATGCCGTGCCAGTCTTCCTCCTGCAGGGGTGCTCTAATGACCCCGAAAGCCATGACCAGACAAACCCGAGACAAGCCTGTACCACCAGAGGAAATCCTGCCTCAGGCAATAGACTTCATCAAGCAATATTACGAATCCTTCAAAAGGTAAGTGCAGCGTTATTCTCAATGCATGGAGTCACCTCTCTCCTGGGTACTGGTAATTTATCTCCTGATTTCCCCCGATCGATGGGGACGTGCAGGGCTGAGACCCTGTGGCCACCGTGTACAGGCAACATGACAGGGCACTTAAGACTCTATTCCGGTGGAACCTGCACTGGTTCTGTAAGGTTTGACCAATTTATAAAGGCATTTTTCTTATCTACCTGGAGATTTCAAATTCATTTTACAGGAATACCACATGAAATATGTTCCAGAAACTTGCTTATCAGATCAGATGCACGTTGTGTTCTTACATGACCTGTCAGTATAAGTGTTGGGATTGGGACAAGCCTCTGGGTTAATCACACTGATCTTCCTCTTCCCACTCCTAGCCCCAGAATCGAGGAGCACCTGGCCCGAATCGAGGAGGTTACCAAAAGCATCACAAGGACGGGCACATACGATCTGACCTACGAGGAACTGGTGTTCGCAACCAAGCAAGCCTGGCGCAATGCCCCTCGGTGCATTGGCCGCATCCAATGGTCTAATCTCCATGTAGGTAGCCTTCCCTTTCTCACGGTTACTCCCAAAGTTCTTCGTTTCTTTTCCCCTGGCAAATGAAACCCCCATCAACATCTGACATCTACGTCTGTGTCTCTGCAGGTGTTTGACGCTCGGAAATGCACCACTGCGAAGGAGATGTTTGAGCACATGTGCACCCACATCAAGTATGCAACCAATGATGGAAACTTAAGGTAGGAGCCAGGAAGCATTCTCATTCTGTTTGTTTAGAATACCTAACATTGTCCTTAAAATGACCCTGTGTTAATGCTGGGGAGCTAAAACATACATTATTAATCACTCCTAGTGGTACAGAACTTGAATAATGTCGAGAAAAGATACTTGTTGTCAAGGGCTCTCTATCTTGCAGACATCAGGACACAAATGCAAGAATACCAAATCTCAATAATAATCGCATGAAAAAATGAGTTTATATAGAGCCTTAAAGGACTTTGCAAAGTGCCTTACAGGCAATGCAGGACAGTTAAAATGTACTCATTTTGTAATAAAGGAAAAATTTTTATTTTTCTTCCACTCACTGGATAATTTTATTCTGTAGATCCACCATCACCATCTTCCCTCAAAGGACTGACGGAAAACATGACTTCAGAATTTGGAACAGCCAGATAGTCCGTTATGCAGGGTACCAGTTACCCGATGGCTCTATCATTGGAGATCCAGCTGGAGTTGCATTCACACAGGTAAACTATGAAGCTCTTTGCAGTGTCTGGCATTATGTCCAATAGATGAAGTTTACTTTCTGTCATTGCAGTAAGTTGCTAAGAAGGCCACACATATGTCACAGTCAGACAAGGAACTTAAAGTCATCTTCAGCCCTTCGAAATCTGCTCCCATTGATTCATAACTCCATTAGCAAATGATGATCACAAGATCATCCAATCAATAAGAACTAATCTAACTTATAAGAAGTGGAGGGGTGGTGAGTGGAGGTCAGACTGAGAATTCTCTCTAGCAAATGGAATGGGTTGGCAGATTTGAGTTAAAACTGAAGATGTTAGAAATAAGGAAAGATTGGGACAGTGGCTTTTAAACAACAGACACTTTAGTTGTGAAGTAAGTTTACAGGAAAACCCATTGAAATAGATAAATAAACAATATGGGACAACAAGATCATCTTGCAGTGAGAGCCCAGAGTGCAGGAGATGGTGTAAAAGAATAGAAGGTGTTCAGATCTACCAAAAAAAGGCAGGCTTCGTTAGATCATTTGTTTTTCATAAAATTCAAATATTGTTATGTTCTCACAAAAATTACCCTTGGGATCCTATAATTAATTGAAAGAAGGAAATTAGATAAACAATTAAAATGAAAAATACTGCAGGGCTGTAGGAAAAGATCAAAAATGTTGGATGAATTGTCTAGTTCCTTCAAAGTGGAGTCACAGGCGCAATGGGCCAAATAGCCTTGTTTGATGCTACAGCATTCTACGATTCATATGTTCATTCTACCACAATGTGTATGGACAGGATTCCCCCACTGAATGCTGTACAATCCCCACGTCTTCAATAATGCAGCAAAATACCATGTTAAAGCAATACTAAACTACATCTGCTTTCTATTGTTCACCATAGCATTATTGCTTTAGTTTCCATTTTTTTAGCAGGCTATTCAGCCCTCAACCCTGTTCTTCTGTTCGGTTAATTTATGGCTGATCTATAACTCAACTCCATTTTCCCATCTTTAATCTTTTTTGGTTGATACCAAAGCCTTTACTGTCCATTGTGGCTGTTTGCCTACAAAGAAAGAATGATTTCTAATGGGCCAGATGTATAATGTTAACGTTATGTAGCTTTGGCCAAATGTTCTTTATAGGCTACTGCAAGATATTGCTCAGCATTAAAAAAGAGTTGTATCTATCTTATTTTCAGGTGTGCATTGACCTTGGCTGGACCCCCCGTTTTGGTCGCTTCGATGTGCTTCCTTTAGTCATTCAGGCCAATGGTCAGGATCCAGAAGTTTTTGAGATTCCACCAGAGCTCATTCTTGAAGTAGAAATTGAGCACCCAAGGTAGGTTCAACTGTCAAACTTCCAAAAATTTATCTATACCATGGTCCCAAATCTATAATTCCAACCCACCTCCGTATGCCCATCTACCTGTAGAATAGGTAGATCATAGACTGGTTTAATATGCCACAATGCAATGATTCACATGACTAATACTTCTGCTTGTACCTGCAGGTTTGATTGGTTTAAGGAAATGGGTCTCAAGTGGTATGCTCTACCTGCTGTGGCCAACATGCTGCTGGAAGTTGGGGGTCTGGAGTTTCCTGGGTGTCCTTTCAATGGCTGGTACATGAGCTCTGAGATTGGTGTTCGAGACTTCTGTGATGTTCAGCGATACAATGCACTGGAGGTATGGCGCCCAAGTTAGCTTTGATCCATCAGCTACATAAGAACATTTTATGATAGTCAATTTAAAAGGGTACTTTATCTCATTTGATTTCTGTAAACTGCTAAGTGATTGTGTATGATAAAGAAGCTTAAAATGAAACAGTTAAGAAATAAACCATCATTATTGAGCTCTTTCCCTCGTGCACCCACTATAGCCTGTCTAAAATCAAGCTCCCCTTATTACAGGAAATACTACCGATTTTAAACTCAGGCCTCCGGTAGTTGCCCATATACCAGTCAGCAACTGAATACAGAGCATCCTCCTCCAGTTTTCAATTTGAGTCACAGCCTCTTATTCAAGACCCAAAGTAAAGAGCTTCAGCAAAGTTAAAATGAGTACGAAACAAGATGAGATTCATTAAAGGTCAGATTAAGTCTGGCTTAAGTTTTCAAAAATTCTTGGGAAAGAAAGAAAGCATGAGAGAGAGAGAGAGGGAGAAAGAGAGAGCCAGATTGGTTTGAGACAGCAGGAAAGTGTGAGTAGGAGGAGGAGGCAAAGACTCTATTTTGACTGCAGTGGAGTAAAGATGCAGAGAGAAGGCAAACATGGAGCTCAGCAGGAAAGAGATCATGAGATGCAGACAAAATGCCTTACAACTAAGTAAGGGGTCAGAAGTGAATGATGTTCACATTGCAAAATTGTCAGGAACAGTTAGCAAAAGTTGTTAAAATACATGACTAAATGTGACCTCTTTGTACATTAGTTAGGCAATCAATGTAAAAAGTTGAAGTATTTGCAAGGTTCTCTTTTTTCACATTTGGTCAAAATGAATTCCTTTTTGTTGGAACACAGGAAATTGGTAAGAAGATGGGATTAGAAACAAACAATCTGGCGTCTCTGTGGAAAGACCAAGCGGTGGTGGAGATCAATATTGCTGTGCTGCACAGCTTCCAGGTGAGAAGAGAATAAAGATGATGAACTTCAAGACAATTTTATTTTAAAAGCAGCATGTTGCCATTTCAGATACATGCAAACTTGACACATTCAGGACACTCTATCCAGACTGCTGTCCTATTAACAAAATGATTCAGTAACCTTTTAGAATATTACAATTTTTCACCACTTAATAGCAAAGCTATTCAATTAATAAAGCTTATGAGCATTTCACCTTTTAGTGGGATTTCGCTGAGGCTGATCCAGAAGCAAAATTGACTTAAAATTAGAACTTGGATCATTTCTTTAGGGTACATTCCACTATGTTCTCCTGATTAAAGGTCCAGATTCAGAAAAAATTGGAACCAGTATTCCCTGGTGGCTTTTCTAGTGGAAAATACTAGAAGAGCCATACAGAAATAGGGAGAAACAATTACACAGTGATTGACAACACAGACATTGTGAGTAGAAGAGAAGGAAATCCATGATTCCCTTCAAAAGCATGAACTTTTCCAAAGAAAACTGCCAAATTCCTACATTTTCCCTTGACCTGATATCACACAACCCAAAGTGTTTAACATTTGTCTTCAGAGACAATGCTTTGCATCATGAAAGTAGATGATGCAAATTCCCCCAAACCACTATTGACCAATTCATATAGTAGCCCCTTCATTGCTCTAGGTGTTAATATACAAAATAAGTCATGTCATCTTAAAGGTAGCTCCCAGGGTTTGGTATCAGTACATCAACTTCACCTGTAGGTTTGTCACATGCCATCTGATTTTCCATTCATTCACTAGAAGTTCCCACAGCCTTGAGTTTTGAGCATGGTGCAATTTTTTTGTTCCAGAAAAAGAATGTGACGATTATGGACCACCACACAGCCGCAGAGTCCTTCATGAAGCACATGGAGAACGAGTTTCGGCTCAGGGGAGGCTGCCCAGGTGACTGGGTCTGGCTTGTCCCACCCATTTCTGGAAGCATCACACGAGTGTTCCATCAGGAGATTCTGAACTACATCCTCAGCCCTTTCTTTTATTATCAGGTAACTCCTTCCCTGTGATAAAATTCAAAGGTCAGGGGCCCAATTCTCATACAGTCATAGAGGTACAAAGCACAGAAACAGGCCCTTCGGCCCAACTCGTCCAAGCCAACCAAGCTTCCTAAACTGTAAAGGGAAATTGTGAAGTGTTGGCGAAAGGTTTTGTAAAATACAGCCAATGAAACAGTGAATTTCCACTATTCCCTAGCTGGTCTCAGTGGTTCCAGTATCACTGACATGTGGTTCTAGTAGGAAAAATCCTATATAGTTGCTCTCCACAGGTTAAGAAGGAAAGCAATAAGCCAAGATTCTTACTCTCAATCATCATTCCAGCCAGAAATGGGATGTCAGTGCACTCTGGATTCGGGGATTGGAGCACTGTTGTGTGATGATCCAAAGTTTTGACAAGGATCATTAAAAATGAATTCAATCCATACTAGGGTGGATGCTCAGTTGTTGTACATATTTAAGACTTAAGTTATCTTACTTTTGGACACAAAGGGAATTAAGGGCTACCGCGATGCAGTGTGAAAGCAGAGTTGAAGTTAAAAATGAGCCATGATCCTAATGAATGTTGGAATAAACTTGAGGGGCTCTCTCTGTTCTCTGTCTGTAACTGCAAATTGCAGAGAAACCAAAACATCCAGCTTTGAGACAGTATCACTTAATCTAACCACCTGTCCATGTCCTCTAATCGCAGGTTGATGCATGGAAAACACATGTCTGGCATGATGAAAGCCGGAGACCAAAGAAGAATGAGATCCAATTCAAACATCTAGCGACGTAAGTGCATCAGAAATATTCTGTCTTCTTCAAATGAATTTTCCCCAGCTTTCCTTTGCTCCGACTGTCTTCCAATCAAAACTCCCTACACAATATTTTGTAAAAACGTATTTGTTCCTAAGATCTGAAATCTTGCCTCTTTCGGCTGTTCAACCTTCCACCTCTCCTTCAGTGGTTTATGAGCTTCTAAACCCCAATGATTCAGTAACACCTCTTCTTCATTTGGTGTTATCTTTGCAAACTTCTTAAATGTACTTGCAACAGAATTGAAGCAACTTCAGCTCCTTTAGAGACATTAGCCAATTGTTAAAGATTAAATGATGTTGCTTTCCTTCCAGGGCAGCACTGTTCAGCTCCATTCTGATGCGAAAGACCATGGCCAAAAGGACAAAGGCAACAATCCTGTACGCAACAGAAACAGGAAAGTCAGAAACCTTTGCCAAAAAGCTGCGCACCTTGTTCAACGGCGCCTTCAATGTCAAGGTAAACAAAAGGAAGAAAGGCATGGTTGCATTTGTAGAGCCCCCTTTCACAACATTTCCCAATGCACCTTGTTCCTTTCCCTGTTTGCTTCAGTCATTTCACTGCTAAATCTACAAAACTGCAAGAACTCATTTAGAGCATTCCATTGTAAGATAGTTTAAAGAGCTGCCTTGTTGTAAAGTCATGTATTCATCCAGGATGGTCCTAATGGTTGTTTGGATGCAATGTTCTTTATTATCAGGTTGTCTGCATGGATGATTATGATCTGAATGACCTGAGTCAGGAGTCACTGGTTTTGATAGTGGCAAGTACCTTTGGAAATGGAGATTCACCTGGAAATGGAGAGGTGAGCAGCATGTTTTTGGAAGCAGTCTAACCTCTTGGCAATGCCTCAAACAACAGGAGCAGATTTGGTTAGTTGAGCTAAATTAATACATCCTATTTGGGCTTTGAATAAACAACATGAATCGTAATCGAAGTTCACAGTGTGTTATGGGGACATCAGTGATTACTAACACTGACGTCAAGCTGGATGCAGAACAATTGTGAAGACAGGAGGTGGGATCAAGGCTATGGATTCAGGAGGTTAAATCTTAATCATTAAAATACTTCACTATCAGGAGAATTGAGCAGAGAGGGACTTGCTGGGTGGGCTAGACAAGTGAGAAATTATTTTGAGAATGAGTACTAATCTTTCTGAATAGGATGAAGAACATTGGGAGGGAAGGGGCTGGAAAGATTAGAAAAGGCTAAAATGACCTGAAATGTACACCAGCAAATATGTCAAAAATAGGATTTCATATCAAGTAGGAAGTGAAGAGTAGTAAAGAAATTCAGGAGGAAATACTGTAAATTCTCTTTTGAAGAAAATCCCCCCTGAATGGTGCAGAGTCAATTTCTTCTATTAAAATGTTTGTTTTGTAATTACAGGTGTTTAAGAAATCCTTGTTTACAAAGAAGCCATTGAAACCATATACATTCAGGTATTTCACTTGGTGTCAATTTTGCAAATGTACTTCATGCTTGCATCAGCTTTGTTTGCTTAGGGGTTCTATCCATTGATAAATTAAGGGATTTTGTAGCCTTCGTAGACAATCTAGGCTATTTCTTCCTTGCAGTTCAAGTCTAGAAGTTAGAAATATCCCAATATCATGGGCAACATTTGTCCTGTCAACCAACACCTGTTCACATATTGTACTGCTGTTCTGTGGGAGATCGCTGCATATAAATTGACTGCACAACAGCAAAGACAGCATATCACAAAAGAATTTCTGGGTTAGTGAAACATCTACAGTTGTCCTGAGGCTGTGAAAACTGCTAAATAAATACATGCAAACATCAATTAAGTATGCCGTCAATTAAGAGAAATTCCATTAGACCTTAGTGTTGTTAGTTTATATTACAAATTAACATTAAAACAACCATTACTCGACAATTTGAAACCTGTTAAAAGGAATTTCATCTGTTCCTAAATGTGCCAGAATTTGGGGTAATGGAAATGTTGGAAAGAGTTCAGGATGGGCTGCTTCACTATTGGGTCCTTCATGTATCCCTGATCTGCCCATCATTATGAGATGCTAGGCTAATCTTGAACTGATTTCCTCATGCAACAAGTTACATTTGTTGACCATGTTGCTTGTTAGAAGTCCATCAGGATAGATAATAAAATAAAAAGACCCAACAAGACAATCTTGGCAGCCATAGCATAGACAGGTTAAGAATAGCATGGAAATATATACAGATATATATCCCCTTCTTCTGGAAGCTCAAGTGATTTAGTTTGTGTGGCACATGCTAAAGAGGTGGGGTGGATTGTAACTTATAAAATGGGCAGCTTGACATTTGAGAAAGGGATAACAAGGTGTAGAGCTGGATGAACACAGCAGGCCAAGCAGCATCAGAGGAGCAGGAAAGCTGACGTTTCGGGCCTAGACCC